TGCATTACGAAAGATTTGGCTAATTAATAGTATTTTATTAGGTTTGGATAATATAAAAGAGTTTGAAAAGGATTTGGATAAAAAATAGACATTACCCTTTAAACTGTAAATAAAAAGAATTACATATTCCAATTATCTCGTTCTAAAATAAGAATCTTGACATATATAACCATGGATATTATATTGGTAGTAAAATTTGGAAAGTATAGAAGCCACGATTGAAGAATTGTAGCAGTTAAATATAATGTAATCCTTCTACAACCATGAATATATGTGAACTGAAAATATTAGTTTCTAATACCAATACATATAACATGTAAGTACGGAGGCAATTGCAGTGGGATACCGAGCATGAAAAAACTAAATTTAGTAAGACATCAACAACATTTGAATAATGACTTGCGGGTGAAAGTACAAGAGCAGCGACAATGACATCCGTCATGGAAGAAAGAATACATGCAATAACTCATAAGCTAACAGATAATCATCTAGAAAAGGCTGGATGTGTTGGGTGGGATTAGCAGGATGTCTCTAATTATGAATTATATAGTAGTCAATCAATCCTTTCAAATTACAAAATATTAGGCAAATCTTTTGTAACACATCAAAATATTAGCCATGTTTCTATTACCGTTCATCATTTTGTAACTCTTTTCTTAGTTAAAATACTAAAATTTTGAAATGTTGTCACTCATGTGTCTCTTCCAAATCAGTATCACGTTGTCATGTCAATATTACTAACAAAACCACTAACTGGACGTTAACATTTGGTTAATATTTTTGAAAGTTTTGGATAATATTTTAAAATGAGGAAAATGTTTGACTAATAATTAGTATTTATCCAAAAAAATATTATTTCTTTTATGAGATAGTTTGAAAGCTTTGTTAGAACTTTTTGGTGATAAATAATATAGATTTGAAATTTTTTGTGGACACTAATAAATTAACTCCTAAATTAATGTATTATATATGTCTTTTATATTATAGCTAAACGTTATATAACAGTTAACTGTTATTAAATCATTAACCACCAAATTGTTGCATTCAACATTTGAGTATTATACTTTGTTATTGAGCTAATGTTACATTTAATAATCGTAAATATATAAAATTAATTATTTTAAAAATAAATAAATATATAAATAATAGTAAAGTTAACAATTTAATTCATTAAATACGGATATTAAATGTGATGTACGGATTCTATACGTGTTTAGTACGGGAGGCATCAAATGAACGGGGGGAAATGAAACGGCTTGGCAATAATACGGATACGGAAATTTTAAATGAATAAAATACGTACGGGTACATACATGTATATTAAACGGAGTATTTACTAACTATGATTATGGGTGTGCTGGAGGAGAACCTCCATTTATGTTTTGATTTGATTTGATGTTTTGAAGCGTCACGAATAATTGAATCAACTACTAGCATATAGTCACCAATACAGAACCAGTTGGGCCTGAAATGAGGGCATGAGGCTAACGGACATAACAATTGATTTAAAATACATCTTGAAGATATTTGCGGTTGAAGGCCCAAAACTCCCTCCTATTTTTCACCAGTCAGGCGTCATATTTTCACCTCCAATAATGTTAGTATATATAAACCTAAAGTTTGGGTATTGTTGTCAAACAAATTACAAATTAGTCATTGTTTAACAAATTACAAATTAGTCATTGTCTAATAAATTATAAATTAGCCATAATTATTAAGCATCGGGGAATTATGGCCACAACTATCAAAATACAAATTATTAGCCAACCGTTAAGTTTTCGTTAACACTTCTGTTAGTAATGATACTAAACTTTTACGATGCTGAGCTGGCTCCAACCGCTAATTTTAATGTAAAACAATTGAACAATTATGTTTTGGTATCTAAATTTTATGAGATTTTCGTACTTACAATTTTTAAAATTTATATATTGGTCCAATATTTAGATTTCACTTGAATACGTGAACCCAATCCACCAGTCCTTTTGAACCAATCCATGAATCCTATCCATCATAACATAAAAATATAAATTTAGTTTGTATCATACAAGATGTTGTATCATTCAACTGTAGGAGAAGATTCGAACATTTTATATTTTCTCATTACGTGAAACTTTAAATAAATGATAAAAGCGAGACGACTCTAAAATATTGCAAGAGCAAATTTATAAATTCATTTTTATAACCTAAACTTAATAGATCTTTAGATTTATAACCTAAATTTTTTTTTTGGCATATAAGTCCTCAAAATATTGACGGAGCATTACATTTTAGTACCTAAAATTTTTGTGCCTAAACTTTTGAAGTCTACAAATAGGTCTAATTTTTGTATGTGTTATTAAAACACCCTCAAATTAATGGATATCATACACATGCCCTCATTTCAAGATTTTTTAAATTGGATGTTGACCGCTATATATCTCTTCTCAGTCAATATTATTAACAAAAGTACTAATAAAAAAATTAATTTAGGCTAATAATACTAACAAAATACCATAACGGGCCACATAATACATGCCCGTAGCCCATCTCCGCCCCGCGATAAGGCGCGGGATCGCCACCTAGTAAAATTAATTTAGTAAAAACAAAAACCGAATCTTCATTCAGACTTCATAGAAAGAGTCCAGGTGTTTACAGGAAAAAAAAACAAAAAAGAAATTAAAGGTGCATATGATCAATAGCTATAAGATGAAACGAACCAGCTATAGCTAGAATTAATACAATGGTTCAGCCCTTGTGAATTGCGAGATACCGTTCACAGTCCTTTTCAAAAATATGTCGATTAAGTTCAAGCAGAGGGATTGAAAATTTAGACGGTGGTTAATCATTTTAAGCGGGATGGGGAATAATCAGATCAACTTAAAATAGTGATTGAACTACTATCTAAAAGTAGGAAAAAATTTAGCAGACCATATTTCGATAACTAAAAGTCGAGAACATGATGGACATTGTACCTTTGAGTATCGGTTTGAATATATGTTGGATGAAAAAAATCCCTTCTTAATTGTATCAGAGCGAGTATCCTGTGTTAAATGATTTCATATACACAATCAAAATATTATAATTAAATGAATGTTATATATTAATAAATACAAAAAATTATGAAAGATCTCAACCCATGCTTCAACAGATATGATCACGATGTTGTTCCACAAATGCTATACATTCTATATACTATATTTTTAAATATATATTTTTTTGTTATCAATTAGCCAGGGAAGTACACGAGCATCTCAAGGGATTTGCTCAGGAAACAAAAGGATAAATCAGCCGATTGAGAAGGCCATCCCAACACAGCAACAAACAAAACAGCTGTTGGGCCTTGCCTCGTCCTGACCCGCTGAACCAAGAAGCCCACTCTGTCACAAAAGCCCACCAGAAGCGCAGCGTCTCATCTGATATCTCGTCAAGATCACTAAGGCGCGTCTTCGCCTCCATTCACCATCATCAAAATTGAAATAGTCAAATGCAGGAGCTCTACTGGACAATCGTGCATCAGCTCTCTTCCTTGATTACTAACGGTAAAGAACATTGAAGAAGAAAAAGACAGAGGAATGAAGCTGCATTTTGCCTATATAAAGACCGCTCCTGTCAATAGGAAAGATGATAGTTTCCTCGACTTAGTAAGAACAGGTTGGTTCTTTGGGAGTCTCTGGATTGGGTTCGGTGTTTGTGTCTGGATAGCTTGAGTTGGGCTTGCAGCCAGGGACTCAAGCTTATCTGGGTGTGGCCTCTGCTACTGCTTTCTTTTCCTTGAATTCGATTCTTGATTTGGTTTTGTTTTCGTTCCTAGAACCCTGAATTTGAGTCTATATTGTTATCAAATTCTCTTCCGTGCTTAAACAAGAACATTCTCTTGATTCAATATAATCTCGGTCTCAATCTTTTGATTACTATTAGTTGTGGAAATGGAATTGGCCACATAGCGTTTTAACAACAGCGCCCGCAGATAAAAAATTCCAAACAAAGCACCTGAACAGGAAGACCAGAAGCCCAAAACGGAAGTCATGGAATGAAGCTATTCATTCTCCACCTGTCTTGGGAAGCAGACCCCCTGAATGTCTTCTTGAAGAATTCTACTTAACTCAGTCGGAGGCTCTTCCAACTCATACGTACCGAAGGGATAGACGAGACTGTGCTTCGAGAGCCAGTCCGCGACTCTATTCCCTTCCCTTAATTATGAACTAGTTGAACCACCCAACTTTGAGCAATCAAACGACGAATAGATCCAAGAATCGTCAAATAAGGATGAACAGAATCCGTACGTTGCTTGATCAAGTCAAGAGCTAACTGAGAATCCGACTCCAGAATAAGGAATTGAGCTCCCTTTCGCCACGCCAAATTGAGTCCTTGCATGATTCCCCACAACTCAGCTAGCAGTGCCGAACCGGTTCCAAACTTGCTGCAAAAACCGCCTATCCAATCCCCATAACAATTGCGAATGACTCCCCCTGCAGTGGCCATACCAGGATTGCTTTGGGCAGCACCATCCGTGTTCACTTTCCACCAGCCAGTAGCCAGCATCGTCCAGCTTATCAGAGTTTCGACCCATGCTGGCTTAGAGCAAAGTTCAAGGTTTGAGTTCGCTGATTCCCAAACTTTCACCCACTCGGTAGCCTTGGCAGTGACGTAGTTCTGGCGTGTTGACATGGCGATGTGAACGCCGTTAAAGGCCTTGTCGTTGCGAGTCTTCCAAACGTACCACATCACCAAACAAAAGTAAGCTGCCCAGCTTCCTCTCTAATTACCCAGAGAGTCATCTGCAATATTAGAGGAAATCCAATCTTCAAAGCTAGAATTGAAAAAGGCTGTATGGCGAGAACTGGGAACCACTTTGCTCCAAATCATCTTCACCCCTTGACAATCTCTCAGGCAGTGTAAGTGGCACCGATCGAGCCTCTAATATTACTGTATCATCATCTCTATTCATTCTTTCTCTAGCTAAATCAATCAATCATTACTGTCCGGTCCGTGCTAAATCAATCAATCATTCTTTCTCAGATCCTGGCAGGCGGCAGCTGCGTCAAAACAAGTTGCTGCCCGTGCATTACCTTGGGCCAAAATGCTGTCATCCTGGACACAAATGATTCAAGTAAGTGTCTCCCCAGCTCAAATTTGTTAAGGAGGATCCAATATTAAATAATTTGGTTCTTGATATGATATTAGAGTACGCCCTTTGGAGGTTAATTTTCCGTTCGAAATCTGATTTGTGGACCACGTGGTATTTTGATATTAATTAATTAAGGATCCTGTGCAAACGAAATATTCTCTTATCAATTGACTGACTCTCTCGTTTGGTACTGTAATTGGTGGAACCAAAGGGAAAGTGGGGGAAAGGAACAGAAGTAACCATGGTGGAAGAAGTAACCATGGTGGACGATGATTCCTTTTGGAATACTTTTCCCATGCCTCAGTAATTAGTACCCAATATCTGTTCCTCCACAATGCCGCCACCGATACCACTTCCTTCTCCTTCGTCCAAGTCGGCCGTTTTCTGATTCTCCCTCCGGCGGTCGCCTCTTCCGATTCGGACTCCGTCGCAGCCGGCAGTAAATGTATTCGAGGGGGATTGGCGGAAGAATACATCAGCCGCCAACAACCAACGGATGGACGGAAGTTTTACTGCAGATGGGTGGTGCGGAGATGGTTGCAGAGAGGGAAAGGAGGTATGGAAGATGGGTTGGGTTGGATTGGGGTGGTGGCTTGGTTTTATTTTATGTTTTTATTAGTTATTTTTATGATGTGGATGTTGACGGGACAATTGACTGGACCAAATTAACAGAAGTTTGGATGGAAATGGACGGAATTATCTTTTTGTTATTAGTACAAACATATGTTACTGAAACGTACAAAAATAAAGGTTTGTGACCGTTTTGTACAAAGTGAATAGTTTTGTGATCATTTATGATAACTACCCGAAGATTTACTATTTGTTGCGTTTAACCTGAGTTTCGCCTCTTTCGTTGATCTACAACTGATATTACTTCATCCCGTTATTGATACTAGATAATTGGCCCGCGCTTTGCGACAGGTAAGCACGACCATCAATTAAATTATATTAGATCGAATGCGACTACATATGACCATTTGATTAGAGTGGATTAGACATTTTTATAAATTGAGTTGGTTCCAATTACTAAATTGAGATTTTATTTTAATTGTATCATGAATTCTCTTAAAAGCAAAGAAAAAAAGTTAATCATCTCAAACCGTATGATCATATCGTTACCATTATGTGGTTGGTTGAGGTAAGGATATAGATTTTTTTAAAAGGATTTAACTTCCATGTACTTCACTTGATACTAACTAAAAAAAGCTGTATATATGATCAGTGGTATATAGAAGCATTTGAAAGGGAAAAGATGCATATGAAAGCCAGCAACACCTACTTAGTTGGCTACTTATCTAGAGTTCATAAACGAATTCAATAAGATATGAAATCATAGAAGAGCAAAGTACTTCACGCTCGTCAACCGTTTACGCTTCTAATCACCACCCACTACATCTTTCTTTAACCATCCCTGTGTTTCATATGATTCTTCTATGAAAATGGTGCAGCACTGAATATACATTGAGGTGAGAGGTTACTTGAGGAGAAGTCAAAGAAGATGCGGACAGTGCGAGAGTTATCGGTCCAGTTCCATTCAATCGTCACTTGCCCGCAACCTGCTCCCTCGATGTTAGATCTTACCAGTAGGGATAGCTTTATATTCATAATCGGGAACCTTGACTCTCGGCACCCAGAAAAGCAAGCTTTGTTCGTAATCAAGATCATCTCCATTCTAGCTGCCATTGACGGGAAAGAATAGAGAAAGAAGGAAACTTGGCTAATCGCCAGGACAGGGGAAGAGCGTCGGGAAATTGGGAAGAGGTCGCAGGGAATAACAGAGGGGAAAACCGAAACGGAAAAGCGAACGAAAGAAAGAAAACGGGGACCAGACGAGAAAAGAGGTGTACAGACATACGGTAGACCTGACCGTATCCCATTGGACCCCTAATGCAAAACGGGCGCTATTTATATATTAATTAGCGCAACTCAGATTATATGACAGACTCTGTCTCTTAGGTATTGGTTCAACTCGATTATGAGGTTACTGGACTAGCATGTCTCCCTATTTGTAATTTTGGTATAGTGGCGTGACTAATTAACTTGTGGCCTTTGCTTCTCTAGTTGTACTTTTGGCTTACCCAACTTGTGTAAGTGGGCTCATTTTTCTTGGCCTTGCCCAATGTTAATGAAAGCAATACTCACCTTTTTCGAACAACCCAAATAACTGCATGCGTGGTTAAGGTGTACTCAAACTCACTTTTACTTGAACTCTAGAACCAATGTAAATTTAGCAGCACCCTAAAGTTTGTGTTACCACTTACATTGTTGATGTGAATAGAATCGAACTATCTGGTTAAGATTGGATGTTGTTATAAACGCGCTGCTACGGATCGGGAAATCGCTGGAATCGACAAAGCAAGAATACGAAAGTGAGAATCGAAAACACGACACACGATTTACGTGGTTCACTAACACGATGTGTGTTAGCTACGTCCACGGGCGAGAGAGAGCCAGTTTCACTATATCGAGGAGATTACAGATTACAGAGGAGTATGAGAAGTATTTATAGTACTTCTCCATGTAGGTTTAAACCTAATCCAATCTGACAAAGGAAACGGTTACAGACCATGCCCAGAACCTCCGATTACCAGTCGTAGCGGCTGATAGTCCGATTCAAGTCATATCAACAAATCTCCACCTTGACTTGAATCCTCTTCCTCTGAAATCTCTGATGTACTCTGCTCCTTCTCCCTCTCCCGCCACCAATGCCCCGTAGGGCGGAGTCACCCACTCAAGACATTCAGCAAGTCCAAGCAGTGTTGGAACTTGCCATGTGGAACCGGCTTCGTGAACATATCAGCAGGATTATCCGCGGTGCCAACCTTCTTCACCTTAATCCTCTTCTCTGTCCTCAAGAAATGATACCTCACATCGATGTGCTTAGTCCTCTCATGGTGGACTTGATCCTTGGCCAAGCATATTGCACTCAAACTGTCGCAATACACCACTGCCTGATCATGATGTAGACCCATCTCACCAACCAGTCCCTTCAACCATATTCCCTCCTTAGCAGCTTCTGTCAACGCCATATACTCTGCCTCAGTAGTAGACAATGTCACCGCCGACTGCAGAGTTGCCTTCCAGCTCACTACAGAACTCCCAAGAGTGAATACATAACCGGTCATCGATCTCCTCGTGTCAACATCTCCAGCATAGTCCGAGTCAGAATACTCAGACACCAAGCACTCTGCATCACTTCCGAAACTAATCCCCACATCAGGTGTACCCTTAAGGTACCGGAAGATCCTCTTCACAGCATGCCAATGCTCCTTCCCAGGTTGTATCATAAACCTGCTGACAACACTAACAGCATGTGCAAGATCAGGTCTAGTGCATACCATAGCGTACATCAAGCTACCTACTGCACTAGCATATGGGACTCTCGACATGTACTCCTTCTCAGCCTCTGACTGTGGTGCATAAGCTGAGGATAGATGAACATTTGAAGCACTAGGAGTATTAAGGGCTTTGCTGAAGACATGTCAAACCTCGACGGTATCTTCTGGATGTAGCTCTTCTGTGACAAGAAAAGCTTCTTCTTCGACCTGTCCCTGTAAATCTCCATACCCAAGATCTTCTGAGCAGCTCCCAAATCCTTCATCTCAAACTCAGCACTGAGAAGCCCCTTTAACTTCTGGATATCAGACTTTGACCTCGCAGCTATGAGCATATCATCCACATACAGAACTAGATATATCATCGAACCATCCTCTGCATTGCTGTGATATACACAACAATCATATGGACTTCTGTTGTAGGCCAGCTCAAGCATGTAACTGTCAAACCTCTTGTACCACTGCCTCGGAGATTGTTTAAGTCCATACAAGGACTTCTTCAACTTACAAACATAGTCTTCTTTTCCCAGAACCTCGAATCCTTCTGGCTGAGTCATGTAAATTTCTTCTTCCAACTCTCCATGTAGGAAAGCTGTCTTCACGTCTAGCTGCTCGAGCTCCAAGTCATAATGTGCCACTATTGCTAGTAGCACTCTGATCGAAGTATGTCTGACCACTGGTGAGAAAATCTCATTGTAGTCAACTCCTTCCCTCTGCGAGAAGCCTCGTGCAACCACCCGAGCTTTAAATTTCATGCCCTCTTTAGAAGTGATTCCTTCCTTCTTCTTGTAGATCCACTTGTTTGCAACAATCTTCCTTCCATGTGGTCGTTTGACTAGCTCCCAAGTCTGATTCCTGTCATGGGATTCCATCTCATCTCCCATTGCGGCAAGCCACTGATCAGCTTCACCACCCGAAACTGCTTCTCTATAGGACTGTGGCTCTCCTGCATCCACTTCCTCAGCAACCTTAAATGAATACGCCACCATGTCCTCGAAGCCATACCTCTGTGGAGGTACTCCTGCAGTCGCTCTCTTCGGTCTACCGGAAGTAATAGACTGTTGAGCTCGTGCACTGGACTCTGAAGTTTCTGGCTCTGCACAGACACCCTCATCATGTTGATCTTCTCCACCTTGGTGCTCAAACTCACTCTCTTTGAGAGTTTGCAGCTCCACCTGTTTATCAACATTCCTGCTACCTTCAACAACATTAACCTTCAACATGGGGTTAAACATAGACTTCTCATCAAATATCACATTTCTACTAAGTATAACTCAAAGCTCAGAAGGTGACCAGACTCGAAATCCCTTAACTCCATCTCCGTAACCCACAAATACACCCTTCTTTGCCCTTGGGTTCAGTTTACCCTCATCCACGTGATAATAAACAGGACACCCAAAAACTTTCAGTGAAGAGTAATCAGCAGGCTTACCACACCACACTTCATAAGGAGTCTTACACTCGATACCTGTGTGTGGTCCACGGTTGATCAGGAAGCACGCCATGTTTACTGCTTCTGCCCAGAATCTTCTCTCTAGTCCAGCATTAGAGAGCATGCATCGTGCTCTCTCCAACAATGTCTGATTCATCCTTTCTGCAACGCCATTCTTGCTGGGGTGTATCTCTAACAGTCCGATGACGGGCAATCCCTTCATCCTTGCAGAATTCGTTGAACTCAGAATTACAAAACTCTAGACCATTGTCCGTTCGTAGCTTCTTGATCTTCTTACCGGTCTGATTCTCCACCAATGTCTTCCACTGCTTGAACTTCGTGAAAGCCTCACTTTTCTGCTTCATCATGAAAATCCAAGTAAATCTCGAATAATCATCAATAATAGACATAAAATACCTGCTGCCTCCAATGGATTCAACTCGTGAAGGACCCCAACAGTCGGAGTGGAGGTAATCCAGTATCCCCTTCGTCCGGTGGATACCCTTCTTGGGAAACTTGCTGCGATGTAGCTTCCCAAACACACAATACTCACAGAATTCCAAATTCTGCACCTTGTGCCCGCAAAGAAGATCCCTCTTCGATAGAACTTGCATCCCCCATTCACTCATATGCCCCAGTCTCATGTGCCAGAGAGTGGTCATATCTTCCTGTTGAACCTGAGACGATGCAACTGCAGCAGAACCAGACATCACAGACCCTTGCAATGCATACAAGGTCCC